GAAGGAAGGAAGGAAGGAAGGAAGGAAGGAAGGAAGGAAGGAAGGAAGGAAGGAAGGAAGGAAGGAAGCCTTTACTTTGGTTGATATTTGGCTCTTGATAGTATGAGAAAAAAGCATCAGATATTTGGATCCCACGTTTGTACAGATTGATAGAGTAATAAATCACATCGTGTTATAAATTGATCTTCAAAGCTAGCAGTTCTTTTAAAAGCAACCTCCAAACTGCGGAAAGGAAAGAGCGCCATGACATATCCCATTTCTACCACGTTAGAATATTGTACCCAAGAGAGGCCACAGCAGAAGGCGGCTTCCATTGGAATGAGATGGTCTAGCCACCTCAGCTCCAGACAGCCAAGAAAAATTTACCTTCTCCTCCTGAATCTCGCAGCATTGTGTCTGCCACAACGACAATCGGCCGCCTTAATATATGGGCTAGCACAAAAACGTGGAACTCCTCTAGGCTCTCGTACACGGGGTCTTCAGAATTTTCCACTCTAGGAAACAAACACCACAGCATCCATATCAGAGCTGGAGACTCTGGCCAGCGAGAGCGTGCTGAGGGAGGCCCTCGACCTTGGCCCGATGGCACTGAGCTGGACTCCAAAACTGGATTCTCCCAGCACAAAAACTCAATGCGATTGAAGTTACGGTTAAGCAAACTTAATGATATATAGTGAATGCAATTAACTCTGTGTGTTTAATCACTTCCCCTTTCATCTGGCTGAAAAAAATAATACAATTTCATAGCAGCATCTGGAAGGGTTGTAGAGCCCACATCTAAGGCTTTATGGGGACACAAGCAACCCCACTTTACAGTTACTTACTATGTAAATATATTTATGTCCTTTGTTGTATGCACAAGACAAACATAATACATAACGCCTTGCAAATTAACAAAATAGCTATGCCCTATTTATCCTGAATAGCAGGTATCTGTTAAATAAGATCTTACACCATTTTTAGAAGACATGATTCAGGGTAGGTAAATTTTTGTTTATAACGCTGACATATATGAACATCAAAAGGCGAACGAAGACCCCTTGAGACGTATTTCTGTCTGGAATCTAAGAATCAGCAAGTGTGCCCACCTTGTGCGAACTGCTAATCACCATTTCCATTGTACCAGAACTGGCAGCCAGACATTCAAAACTCTACAGAACTCTGGAAATTGGCAACCTTTACATCTTTTTTAAGGAGCATGTTTGCTCATAAAAAAATAAAACAAAAGATCTAAGAGGCAGCTGGCAACCTAGAACAGCTCAAAATATGTTATTTTTATTTCTTTTTAAAACAGAGACTGCTTTGAAGCCAACGTAACTTTGGATGAAAGACTGTTTTGGCACCAAAGGAAATTAGCACATCTATAATTTAAAGGCTGAGATAAAACCTCTCCTCAGCAGTGTTATTATGAAATAACTGGGCAGTTGGGCTTTGAAAAAGTTCCCTTCCCCAAAAAGAAGATCCCTCTATTTATTTCTGTACTTCAGAATTGCAAGTCAGGGTCTGGGGGTTCCACTATAATCCCCCGTCCATTCAATTTATGGGACAGCCATTGTAACCTTCAGCCAAGTTCAACCAAGAGCTTAGATCTAGTCTGCATGAATCATTCCCCATTTCTGAGCGCAAACGTGGCCAGTGAAAAGGATGCAAGCAAAACGAAAACATTTCCTAGTCCTATTGCACCATCCATCTCTTTCATCCACCAAGTGCTCTTGCCTTTTAAGCAGATATAATGTGAGATCCTGCTTAGTTTGTATGAAGCAAAGAAAAAGATCGGTTGGTGAACAGGGAACAGGAGAATCGTCAGGTGCAAAGCTGAAGTCCACACCTCTTAAAGTTGCCAAGCTTGAGAAACGCCGGTCTAGAGTCTTTTGACCGCCTCTTTGTGGATAATCCCTGTTGTCTCGGGGGAAATCTCCATCTCTGTCTCCTACCCCCTTGACTATTTTAGGCCACACTTTATCTGAACGGGGATGATCTCCTCTCTAACCCCTGCAACCTAGAGACAGATCCTTGAATCAGGAAGTTCTCGCGCTCAGATACACAGCAAAGTCCAGTTTATGCAATGTAGTCTCCAAGCAGCAGAAGGCAAGGAGATATTTGCACTGAAGAATGAGGTTTTTCTGCCAGAAGAGAACAATTCAGCAGGGCCCTCTTCTCCCCACACTTCTCCGTCCAATTTCCAACTGAAATTGAAAATGATGCAAATGTGCAACAGTTTGGCTGTTTTTAGTTTATCCCTTTGGATTATCTCTTTGTTTCACGTAGCACCCTCTGCCTCCTTGATTAAGACAAGGTTCCTTAAGCTTGCGTGGCCTCTGGCACAAAGAGCTGCTGGAGAGCGAAGGATCCCTCCTCTTTCCCCAGTGACCAGCAAGTCCATCTTAAGGTGGCTTGAGTTCCACTTTGAGAACTGTGACATTACATATTTAAAAATGTATTAGCAATGCAGGTGGTGCTCTGATTTCTGGGGAAGTAGAGCTGTCAGAAGCGGCTTCCCTAAAAACAGAGCCAATACTTTTCAGCACATCTCTAACTGGAGCACACGGAGCGTTGCAAAACCAGGAGGCTGAACTCTCGGAGAAAGACAGAATGAGGCTGAGAGAAGTGCTGAGAAGGACCTGAATACAGAGGCAGTGTGGATTAAGTCATCCTGGGAAGGGAAGGGAAGGGAAGGGACCACAGGCAGACAATTCTGAGACAATGGAAGTAAAAACAAAAAGCCAACTCAAAGACAACAGATAGCATTGTTGTGTGTTGTCGAAAACATAGGTATTTGAAAATGTAGTCCAACTTTTATTTTTAGAAAACAATTGATTGCCTTTGGGATCCTCTAGACATCACTGGTTATATGTTTTAACAAAATGACACAAGGTAGAAAAGTTGGCCTACGGGTGAGTCGGAAAGTCAGCTGATCTGGACAGACCAACCTGTTCTTTGATCTTGGGGACCAGACACATCCTCACGGGTGGCAATTCATGGTTGTCTCCATGGAAATCCTCCAATTTCCAGAAGGGTCTGCGGATGCCAGACGGTGATCCCTGGCTACAGCATTTGAGCTTTACTTATAATTCTGTTCCACATGACTTCATACAAAGCATCCTTTTCACGTTATATCGCAAATATGCCCCTGGCAGGCCCTAAAACATGACCGGGCAGTCCTCACTTACCCACCGCCGCTGCCTCCGTTTTTGCTGATGTGAGTGCGGGGCTCACTGGATGCCAACTTTAGCAGTTCATTCCACTCGCGCTCCCATTCTTCTTCGGTATAAACTAATCCTGACTAAAAGAGAAAGGAAGCATATTTTCAGGAACAAGATGTCCAAAGGGTTTATATGCAGGAGAGCAGAGATGTGCTCATACTTTGCATATTTCTTGGGAAAGGAAGAGGGCACCGGGTGGAAGAAGGTTATCCTAGCCCAGTGTGTTTCAACCTTGGCCACTTTAAGATGGGTGGACTTCAACTCCCAGAATTCCCCAGCCAGCCATGAGTTTCAGGTGATCCCCAAATCAGAACTGGCAGCACCAAAAGTCACATTTACACCCAGGGGATGCTGACACTGGCCCGCAGATTGCTTTCATCCCCTCCCGTTGTTTCTTTCAACAAACAAAACGGGAGCCCAGTGGGGGAAAGGAAGAACTTGGATGCCAAAGGCTGAGCAGGAAGAAGTGTCATGCCTCTATGTTAGGAGAGGTGACATACTAGAACAGCAACTTAATGGTCCCTTCCAGATTTCTCTGGACTAGTTGAGAACATCTGTGGCACAAGGGAAACTAGTACCAGAATGAAAAGTCTTTGTCTTCATCCTCCTCCTATTCAACCTCCCACAAAAAAGAGAAAAGGATTCCATGAAGCTACAGGTACTCCTCGACGTATGACCACAATTGGGACCAGAACATCTATCACTAAGAGATGCAGTCATTCACTGGGTCATGCCCAATTTTACAACCTTTTTTGCCACAGTCATTAAGCAAATCATGCGGTCATTAAGCTAATCCGGCTTCCCCATTGACTTTGCTTGTTGGAAGCCTCCTGGGGAGGTTGCAAATGGCAATAATGTGGCCCTGGGATGCTGCAAGCATTGTAAATACATGCCGGTTGCCAAGCACCCTAATTGTGATCACGTGACCATGGGGATGGTGCAACAGCCGTAAGTGTGAGGACCAGTCATAAATCACTTTTTTCAGCGCCATCGTAACTTTGAATGGTCACTAAACGAATGGCCATAAGTTGAGGACTACCAGTATTTCAGAAGAAAGACTTCAGGAGGCGCCCAGCACACCAACCTCTTTATTTTGCTGTGTCTGCTGCCACCTCCACCTTCTCTTCAAAGCTTCCCTTTCAGCACCGCTTCTCATCATGGTGTAAAGTGCTTTCCGCAATACAAGGTCCCGATCGTGAAACCCCCACATTCCTACAAGCAAAAGAAAAGCTGGATCGTGCATCAAAAGAATCACAGATTCATAGGGTTGGAAGAAATGTTGGCGATCTTCAACTCACATAAGAAAGAAACCTAAAGAAAAAGAATGAAAGTGGCAGGTGTGATAAATAACGGGTTCCCTTGGTGTTTCAGGCCTTCTGATTATTTTAAAGCCTTTCGATTTGTATGGCCACCCATCCCGTCTAAGCGACTCTGGGTGGCTCACAACAGGTGAAAACAATCCAATAAAAACAAGTTAAAAACCAATATACAAACATACAAAAACTGGCCATGATCAATTGAAAAATAAACTAGAAAAAAACAGAATATAGGCTGACGAGGAGCAATATTGAATTTCAAGGGAGTGTAGGAGGTCTGGAGGAGAAATAACTAAAATGGTGTTTTGTTTAGTCCTAATCTTGGATTCCAGTTTTCCCGGAAAGTGACCTTAGGGATCTCGACATAAATCCTGGACCGACTATGCAGCCACAGGCCAAGTCGACCTCTTCCACGTTAATTGAACCAACTAAAACTTTGCAATAATAGTCACCCCAATTGCAGGATAGTTGTGAAGTAAAATCAGTAAAGATGGCAAGGAAAAGAGACTAATATTAATGCTGGTCAGGAAAGGAAGGAGAGAGACAAATGCCGAAGGAGAAACCAGCCGTGTGTGGCTTTCAGAAGATATTCTTGTATCCTAAACCAAGGAGACGCGGAGACCTACCCAAAGAAGCAGCATGCAAGAGGCAGTTTCCATCACCGGTCGTCGCCAACGGAAGAAGGCGTTTACAGCTCGTACACATCGTGGACCACCAGTTGAGACGGCCTGGAAAAGATAAAGCACCAGTACAATAAAGGTGTGAAGGGATTTAGAGCTGATCTTGGAGAAGGTAGGAGGGAGCCATTGAGGAGAGACTTGGAGAAGAGATTACCCGGTCCAGGGATAGAGGGAAGCGTGAGAAAGAAACTCAAAGTAATCCCGCTGTGATTTTGTTTGGTAAAAGTTGGGACCAAGAGAGATTTGGACAGGCCTTCAACAGTTGGTTAGTAGTTCCCATACATACAACACACCCATGCAGCATGGCAAATGTAATCACTTACGGGCAGGTTTCTAAGGGGGCTTACATGTTTCCAACCGTTGCAAATGAGCCGATGTATAAAAAAGGGGAAGTCAGAAACCCAATAGTTTGTTTTTATTTTTATTTTTTCCCTATTTTTTAATATTTCAATTCTTGTTAAATTTGCACCATTTGTCTATCTTTTCTCTTCATTAACATGATACACACACACACACACACACACACACACATGCGCAATGGAGACTTTAATATTAAATAATTTGTTTAAGGTCAAAACTTTTATCATATGATAAATACTTTGATGCAAGTCTCTCAATGTTATATTTAACTTTGGATGAACAAGCAAAATAATGTTGTGCTTGTCATACTGATATCTTAAATTGCGGTTAATACTGATGGAACATTTTTTTTCTTTTTTCTTTTCAAAACTCTAAGCTATCTAAATTATAGTACGTCAATAATCCTGAATGATATTATATAAACATCACTGCATTGAAATAATGCACTGTATCAGGATTCATAATAATACAAAGGAAAAAAATAATGCAAATGAACAAACACTTGGTGAATAAACCCTGTTAATATATAAAGTAGCACCCCTGGAAATTCCTGCCATGCCTGTTTCTTGAGTGGCCTGCCTTGAAACCCTGTCCAAGTTTCTCATGTCCCATCTTACACTCAATATTAGTGTATTATTTTAGGGTTATTTTGAATTTCTTTCTCATTCTTCCTTCTCTCTCTGGGCTGGGTAACCTCTTCTCCGTCCCTCCTTAAAGCCTCATTCATTCCTTTCCTCCTTTTGTAACTTCCCCAAGGTCAGCTCCATTTTCCTTTACAAAAGGATATCTTCCAGCCAATGTTAACTGTCCTGAGATCCTCCTAATTTCAGAAGCAATCACTGCATCTTTTCCATGGCCACCAGGGAGTTGAGAGGAATATAAAAAGGGCAAAAGCAATATATTGCATGAAAGTAGAGGAGGAGGATTAAGACTCAGACCCCACTGAAAATTCTATCTTGTCCCACAGAACTCTTTCTCTGATAGAAGAAAGTAAAATCTTAGCTCTTTGGTGTATTCCTCCTCCTTCTCCTTACTATTATACAATTCCTGGTTCTTTTCAGCAGGGCCACCATTTCCCATAAACTCTACCTTCCCATTGACTGCTGCATTCCACGTCCACCTCTGAGGTCATCTCTAAAACTTCATGTAACTCCTAGACCAGTGTTTCTCAACCTCGGCAACTTTAAGCCGTATGGACTTCAACTCCCAGAATTCCCCCGCCAGCATGCTGGCTGGGGAATTCTGGAAGTTGAAGTCCATACGGCTTAAAGTTGCCGAGGTTGAGAAACACTGTCCTAGACTAATTGCTTGATTCCTCCATCAATTCCCAAAGTTGTAATCCACTTTACAACTGCATTATTTAATTCAGAAATCCAAGAGCTTTACAGCATGTAAGGAACAACAACACGGAGCCCGACAGACTTTGGTCTTTTAATCTAATAAGAGCGGGAGTTTTTTGCAGGCCCATCGAAGTGTATCATTGGTAAATCTAAGCATTAATGGCTGAATTTATGAAAAGCACTTGTTAATCTCCACATGCATTCAATAAGCACCAGCTGGCGGCGCACACGTCCTAGCCCCAACTACTCTGATTAAATCTAAATTAGGAGCTCGCTCGGGAAGTATCATTTTAAGTGTGCTGGACTGCCTTTGGGAGTGATAAAATTAGAAGTAACATATTCTCATTTTTAGCAACTTTCTTGTGGGCTTTGAGAAATAACAGCCCATCACCTGCTCCATGTAGGCACTGTGGTACAAAATGCTCTTTAAAGGACAGTAATAAATTATTCCCCCCCCCCCAAAGTCCTGCTATGCTGTCTCATCGTGGCAGGCGGTGTTCCTGGAGGGATGAGTGAAGGATGCCAAGAATGTATGTCAAGAGTATCTGTTCCCAGCAGGGTCACCCAAGGCGTGAAGGTCATCCCAGCTGCCCAGCTAAAGCAGGCAGGCCCCTCTACTGGGCAGCAGTGACAGAGGAGGAGGCTGGAGGTGGACAATGGCAAAGCATCAATTCATCCTGTGCAGGAGAAGCGCTACCTTCTTTCTCAAGCGCTACCCTCTGCAATAGGACTTATCACGTTGTCTGGGTCACCATTATCCAGATCTCTAAGCCCTGTTTTTTCTATCCGTATTCTGCTCTCTCTTCCCCCACCGAACACGCCCAACTCCTTCCACTGTTTCTCACAGGGCTTTCTTTCTGCAGGCTTCAGCAAACTGGTCGCTTTCTTCTTGATCTTCTGCACTGGGTTAATATCCTTCTTTACACACAGCACCCAAAACTGGATGCCATATTCCATTCAATTTGTCCCATATCTCTGTAATTAGATTTCTCTCCACTGAGTTACGCACTGAGATATCTAGACCATTCTGCACAGAGTGACAGGAAATGAAGGTTCACCTTGTGTCTCTGATTCTTTGGACCCGATTTCACCTTTGTTGAATGCTGTGTTTTGTCTTCAACCGACATTTCAGTTTGTTAATACTGTTTTGAGTCACAATGCCATTTCTCATGGTGTTAGATACCCCTCTCCTCTCCATTTGCACGCCATTTAATAAGCATTATCTTTACTCCTTAACCAAAGTCATTTATTTGGTGGAATAAAGCATACAGCCTATGGTATAAGCCTAGGGTGCCCCATCAAAGATCTCCATTGCAGGTTCATGCAGAACCATTAAACGGCACTTAGGGATATATGGTCGTTTAATCAGCCCCAGGTCCTCTGAATAATAGTACCATCAAGTCCAAAGTTTAGCATCTTGCAAGCAAGGATATAATGAGAGCATTTGTTAGATGCTTTGGTGCAATTAATCTATCCTATGAATTCTTCTTGCTGATCTATGTTCCTGAAGTGCTTCAGAGAACACCATCTGGATGAAGATGCAAAGATCTCCTGATGGTTCTCCCTTTCCCACCGCAATAAGTTAAATCTCACAAAGCCTCTCCATGAATCAAAGGACAACTGCACAAACCAGGTTCCAGAAGACTCTGATAGCTACATGGGGATATGAGATCCTTTGAGCCCTTTCCCAGAAGACTCCTTAGAAGGTGTGACCTGGAATGACGGTGCTCTTGGATCTGCAGAGACCATAATGTCATGCAACCACAAATGCACCACGTAACGTAAATGCATCAAGAGCTTCGACTGGGCTATTGCTTGTATGGCATAGACCAGTGTTGTCCAAACTTGGCCACTTTAAGATGAGTGGACTTCTGGCTGGGGAATTCTGG